GGCTTTACCGTATTAACAGGAGAAGCAGCGCAAGTGAAGTTAGACACTGTGGTCGGACAACATGCAGTAATTTATAAATGTTTTAAATCAGGTTGGGATCAGTCAGCAGGTGGGTCCACTAATCCATGACCTCTGCTTTAAAATATAATACTTGCAAACACACATTAGAGATGACTTTACAATAGCTTTATCTGGTCTGTTCCTGTTTGGCTGTGACTCCATCTTGGAGGGAAATATCAGCTGTGCTGCTGCCATCAACTCCTTTGTTTCTAGATGTTGGAGCTTGGCCTGTTCTTCAGTGTAGTCCTGTTTTCTCTGACTGTGACTAACTGGATGTGCTCTCTTCATCCTCTGACATGGGAGCTGACTCGGAGCTGGTCTACCTGACTGTGTGTTTCCTGGATGGGGCTGCCCATCAGCGTTGACAGACCCTTTTCACAGGGGCACGTGTCCCATTGTATATCTGCGGTGCCTGGGGCACTGATTAATTAACTTTCCACTTTCACTGCTCATCTCTCACAGCTCTGCCGTAGCTCTGGTGCGCCCCAAGCTGACAGGAAGTGTATTTGCTCCCCGCCTCCCTTCTTCTTCTTCTTGTGAGGTTTTATGGCGATTGGCAAAATAGTTAAAGTGCATTACCACCACCAACCGATAAGGAGGTGGCGGTATGCGCAAGGAAACAGGAAACAAGACTCACCCTTAGACAAATATAAATAAATCATATTTTTCCGAACCATTTAACTTAACCCAACATAATAAATACTTAATCAAATTTGTCCTCATAATTTCTAATTTATGTTTAATTTATCGTCACTCCACCAGTTACTGATGGATACTGATGGATGGATGATTTTTTTCGGTTTTTCTTGTCATCTGAGCACTACAATTGATCACTTCTACCATGAAAAGAACAATTTTACAATCAATTAATCTTCAATTTTGGGACGCTGCTCCAGAGGTTTTGAACTTTTCATGAGCTGAACTGTTGGTTTGGGTTTTCTAACTGGGAGGGGATCCTTTTTGCAGCTTTTGCATACGTTATTCCAAGCTCTAATTTCACTTTTCTTATTTCTTCTTCAGATCTTTTGCTCACTTCACATCCATGATCTGCAGCAGTCTGTTCTCCACCACAGTTACAGCGTTTAATTTTTTTCTTCTTTCCCACATTTTCCATATTCATGCTCTCCAGCACACCGTCCGCATCATTGTTTTCCCTTATATACTGCTGCTATATGTCTGAATTTTTGGCATTTAAAACATCTCAGAGGAGGAGGATTGTAAATTTTTACATTGCAGCTCATGTAGCCAATGAAAACTTTGCTGGGTAGTTGCTCTTTTTCTCCTTTAATCAACAGAGATAAGCTGTCACACCTTTCTCCATTTCTGGTTGTTTTTAACCGTTTCACTTCTTTTACTTTTGCACCGCTTATGTTTTCTAGAATCTCTTTATCAGTTACTTCTAGAGGAACAATGATTCCCGTGCTAATCATTTTGTTCTCCACCAAGCTGCACTGAACTCTTTCCCCTCATCTTGTTAATGCATATAGCTTTGCCTTGTTGAGACTGTCTCTGCAGTTTATTAACAGGTCTTCACTATTCAGTATTCTGGCACTTCAGACTTCCCCTACAAGTAGTTTATCGATTTTGTTAACTGAATCTGATTCCAATCTGCAAAGTAGTCTCCCTGATTGACTAGTTTGAATATGACTTTGTAATCATTTAGTTTTNTGCAGCCTGGAGCTGGACGCTCTGGAGGGCTTTACCGTATTAACAGGAGAAGCAGCGCAAGTGAAGTTAGACACTGTGGTCGGACAACATGCAGTAATTTATAAATGTTTTCAATCAGGTTGGGATCAGTCAGCAGGTGGGTCCACTAATCCGTAAACCTCTGCTTTAAAATATAATACTTGCAAACACATATTAGAGATTACTTTACAATAGCTTCATCTGGTCTGTTCCTGTTTGGCTGTGACTCCATCCTGGAGGGAAATATCAGCTGTGCTGCTGCCATCAACACCTTTGTTTCTAGATGTTGGAGTTTGGCCTGTTTTTCAGTGTATTCCTGTTTCTCTGACTGTGACTAACTGGATGTGCTCTCTTCATCCTCTGACATGGGGGCTGGCTTGGAGCTCGTCTACCTGGCTCTGTGTTTCCTGGACGGGGCCGCCCATCAGCGTTGACAGACCCTTTTCACAGGGGCACGTGCCCCATTGTGTATCTGCAGTGCCTGGGGCACTGATTTTTTAACTAATTAACTTTCCACTTTCACAGCTCATCTCTCACAGCTCTGCCGTAGCTCTGGTGCGCCCCAAGCTGACAGGAAGTGTAATTGCTCCCCGCCTCCCTTCTTCTTCTTGTGAGGTTTTATGGCGATTGGCAAAATAGTTAAAGTGCATTACCACCACCAACCGATAAGGAGGTGGCGGTATGCACAAGGAAACAGGAAACAAGACCCAGCCTTAGAAAAAAATGAATAAATAATATTTTTCCGAACCATTTAACTTAACCCAACATAATAAATACTTAATCAAATTTGTCATAATTTCTAATTTATGTTTAATTTATCGTCATTCGACCAGTTACTGATGTATACTGATGGATGGATGATTTTTTTTCGGTTTTTCTTGTCATCTGAGCACTACAATTGATCACTTCTACCATGAAAAGAACAATTTTACAATCAATGAATCTTCAATTTTGGGACGCTGCTCCAGAGGTTTTGAACTTTTCATGTGCTCAACTGTTGGTTTGGGTTTTTCTGACTGGGAGGGGATCCTTTTTGCAGCTTCAGCATAACTTATTCCAAGCTCTAATTTCACTTTTCTTATTTCATCAGACCTTTTGCTCACTTCACATCCATGATCTGCAGCAGTCTGTTCTCCACCACAGTTACAGCATTTAATTTTGTTCTCCTTTCCCATAATTTCCATATTCATGCTCTCCAGCACACCTTCCGCATCATTGTTTTCCCTTATATACTGCTGCTGTATGTCCGAATTTTTGGCATTTAAAACATCTCTGAGGAGGAGGATTGAACATTTTAACATTGCAGCTCATATAACCAATGAAAATCTTATACGATAAATGCTCTTCTTCAAATTTAATCAACACAGATAAGCTGTCACACCTTTCTCCATTTCTTGTTGTTTTTAACTGTTTCACTTCTTTTACTTTTGCACCGCTTATGTTTTCTAGAATCTCTTTATCAGTTACTGTTAGAGGAACAATGATTCCCCTGCTAATCATTTTGTTCTCCACCAAGCTGCACTGAACTCTTTCCCCTCATCTTGTTAATGCATATAGCTTTGCCTTGCTGAGACTGTCTCTGCAG